TTCCATACGAAATAAAAGTCTTCACATCAACGTACCAACCCCATGGTCAAGCGCTGGGAATTATGATGCTTGCTTTCCTTTACTTCGCTTAGATAGTCAAAAGGAATAATAGTGCTGTTTAACGCCCTATCTAGCATAAAACTAGATGTTTCCGTACTGATGACCATTCCCCAAGGGGGCTGAGAGCTGGCTTTCGTGTTACTCGCTTTCAAGTAAAGCCGCTTCTTGTCTAATGTCTTTACTCATCCCAATCGTTTATTCTCTACACATAGGGGTTAGTCTATGATATATACTCAATAATAACTTCTCGCATTAGATCATTATCTGTGGTCAGGTTCACGGAGCCATAGCGACAATATATAAATATATAAATATATGCAACAAGGTATTATAACTTAGAAGGGTTTAGAAGTAATATGAGATGTATTCACCCAATTTCGTTGAAGGTGATGAAGGACTGGTAGTAGAAGAATTTTCCCACCGCGTCAGCTCAACTCATAGCATTGTGGGAAAATTCTTCTACCAGTCCTTCGTCAACAACTTTTGGTCGAAAAAAGCAAGGTTGAAGGAAACAATTTTTGGGAAAGCAAGGCTATGTGAAATTCAATGGAAACGTCAGCTCAACTCATATCATTGTGGGAAAATTATACTTTGGGAAAGCAAGGCTATGTGAAATTCAATGGAAACGTCAGCTCAACTCATATCATTGTGGGAAAATTCGATTGGGAAAGCAAGGCTATGTGAAATTCAATGGAAACGTCAGCTCAACTCATATCATTGTGGGAAAATTCTCCTTCTACCAGTCCTTCATCACCTTAAACGAAAGTGTGTGAAAACATCTCATATTACTGATATACTGGTTTAGAAGTAGTTTGACCTTGTTTTCGCAACATGGTCATATTGGTAGGAAGACTTCTAGGAACGCACCTAGTCCGGAGTCCATTGTATGCATGATCATTTCCAGAGTCGGACCGTGGATGTGGTATATTCCCAGGCCTTTCGCCGGTACTTTCAGTGAGTTTTGCCGGTCTTAGCACCACAATGTAACTCGTCAAAGAGACAAGTGAAGCCAATCCTTTGACCAATTGTCTGCTAAACAATCGTAGTATTTCTCCTTCCTCCCTGGGCTAATCACCGATCCTATATCCTCGTATCACGCCTTTACTATCACAATTTATTTACTTGCTTATTTAAATGTCGTAGGTGCGCTCTTTTGAGCGGATTTCATGAGAACCCTCCACACTCCACACTGGCGTTCCCACCCTCCTTCACA